TTCAATGTAAAATGCCACAGTCTAAGTAACACAAACCAAATATGTGACTACCACTCATTATGCTGAATTGGAAATAAGTAGTTTTGAGTAAGGCAGATTAATTTCTAGCCTAGTAAAGGTTGGGTTTTGTTTTTTTCCAAGGAAAACTGGGATTATCAAAGGCTGAACTTAGAGGGTAGATAATATAAAATGTTAGTACTTTATTATGGATCTGTGTTGCATGGTTGTGGTACAGTTTCTTGTTGTGCTGAAATCAGTGGCAAAGCCCTATTTTAAGCTGGCAGAATCAGACCCATTGAGTGGGCCTACAATCTCATGTTGTAAATTTGTAATACTTTACACTGCGCTTACTGAAAGGAAAGAGAAATAATGATCTCAGCATGCCATCTGCCAACTCTCCAGCTGAATGGAACAGACTATGTCAGTAAAAGGGTGAGATATGTCTTTAAATGACTTTTGTGTTTTGTTTTTTTTTATTTGTTCTGGCTTTTTGGGTTGCTTAGTAACAGTATTCTGTGTGCAAATTTGTAGCATCTGTGCAGAATGTGAGGTGTTAACATGTTTGTAAAAAATTAAGAGTCCAATTAATGTTTCCTCTGCAGAGCTTTAAAATTAAATGGCTCCTTTCTTTTTTTTTCCCTTCTACAAATTACCTGCTTTTAGAAAAAGTAAAGACAGATTTGTGCCTTAGAACAGTGATAAATCATAAATTTGCATTTCAGTACTTCTCAAATAAGTAGCTAGTGTTTTTAAATGGAGAATATAACAAAATTAAGTAACTTGCAAAACATTAAGTGGCTTTCAAAGGTCATGTAATTCTGTCTCTGTGATTAGTAGCTGCACACAGGGTAATGCCTGTGAACAATTATATATCTTCCCATTAAACCACTGAACAAAGCACTCAGTGTCAGGAATCTTACCTGATGACTTGCAGAACTGTGTCAGAAAGATTTAAAACGCAGAACCAGATACACTTTAACAGACTTCATACTCCATCCTTTTGGCTCCCTATAGCAGAGGGTCCACCGGAATCTATCCTACTATTCAAAATCTATTAAAAAACAGAAAAAGCTAATACAGGATGAGTTGGACCAAGCCAGTTTCTATAAGGAGACATACTTGTATAGTAACTGAATAGTCAGTGGAGAGAAATAGGCTCTCCCAGACAGTAAGTCATCTCCTGTCTTTTAGATACGTGTCTTAGGGTGAGATGAATCACCTCTCTTTCTGTGGTGACTGAGCCAAACATGGCTAGACAACCTCTCACTTTTAAGGCAGTAAAAGTTGGTAAGATTAATCCTACTCCCCAAGATTTTTTTTCCTGACGATACAGTATATTTTGCCTTTGATCTGTTTTGGCAAATACAACGTTTTAGAGGGAGGCATCTGCAGCAGTCCTGACTCAACAAGGTTCACATTGACTCCAGTGGGAGAACAGGGTGAGAAAACACTGCAGGACTTCTCTTGCAGTAAGTGAAGTATTTCACTGTTCCTTTTCCCCATTAGAGACATTTTGTTCTACCTTTCCATTCCTTTTAATCACTGGCCAGAGATGATGCCAGCAGACAGTGAGGTATTATCCCCAGGGCCCATGGATGTCACAATAAATTCTGTGAAAAAAAGTAGTTTGATTAATGTCTACTGCAGGAGCTGAAGCCATAGCTCTGTAACAGAAAAATACTAACAATCAACTATTGCACTCTGTTCTTTTTGTTTGGCAATGTAATAATTTCGTCATTTTATCTGTAATGGAAGCAGTTGAGCTGATGCCCAGCAGAGCCGTAGCAGAGGAGAAGGGACCTGGCCAGTTGTTGTTGCTGCCCCACAATTGCTTCCCTGCCTTGGCCCCTTCAAAAGCAGCAGGAGCAACAGGACTGAGCGCAAGCCTCAGAAAGCTGCCGGGAGGCTTTTGGAATCTTGCCGGGAGCTGAAGGAGTGGATCGACCCCATCCCTCCTCCATGACTATTTGTGAAATCCATTCCTTATTTCTCTCAGCATCCTATGTAGCTTGTATTTTAACTTGGCAGCTGTTAAGACTCTTGGTGAAATCAGTTTAGCTGTTTACTAGTACACCCTCCCACCACAGGCAAGAATCTTGGCAGCTCAAAAGAGCTTTATAGATAACGTAGAGAAATTGCTGAGCTCCGAGTCCTGCCATGACCATGGTAGAAATTGTCCCTAGCTTTAAGTGGCAGGATGGATTTTCGTGGATCCAGGTGCTTGTCTGGTGTAAAGACCGTGTGAAGGATCTTGCCGGCCGTGTGCTTCACCAGAGTCTACCAGTGGCACCAGGCTGCTGTTGTGGGCTCCGAACATCCAGAAGTCCACCTGTCCATTGACTTCTTTAAGCTGTGTAACACATACGCAAGTCTGATACCTTCCAAAAGTTGTTGGACATGCTACCGAAGTGCTCGGTTGGCACAGTGTGCGTGTGAATAGCCCCAGTGCCGTGGGGAATCATCGCTTACCTCCGTGCTGTGAACAGCCTGTGTACTCAGTGTGGCCCTGGAAATCCCGGGCTGGCTTGCTAACCCTGCACAAGCGCAGACCACAAGCATGTCCCATGGCTCAGAGAATATTTGTCTCAATATAAAATGAGAGACAACGTACAAACTGTTAGAGGACTACAGGGAAACATTAAAAAAATATAGAAGTCAGTCAGCCAGCTGTTAATCTTAGCACACTGGCAGTTCTAACTTTGCTGCGATTCTGCTGACCTTATGTGGGCTTTTAGGAGGGTAATGAAGTAGCTCGCAAGGGCCAAGGAGGGGAAAGCTCCAAGTACTTTATTTGAGAACCGAAGAACTGCGTGATGGGGATTGTTGTCTTGGGTTGACCAGGAGCAGAAGTTAACATCTTCGTGCTGGATGAGAAATGTTAAGCTGACTAGGGTATAGACTCAAAAGCAGTTTGAAAAAGAAGGAAATACACTGATGGTCGATGTGATCGCATGCATGGGCTGTTTTAAATTGTTGAACGATGCCTTTCTGTGGTGTGGGGATCCACTCGGCACGGATCAGTGGCAGAATGAGGCCTCCGGTGATTCATGCTAGGCATAGACATTCAGGCGGCTCCCTCTCCAGAATTTACATGGGGTGGATGTTTCCTGGCCTTTCTAACTTGCTTTAAAGAAAATTAATGTGAATTCTTGCAAACACAGTCTCCTTTCTTCAGCAGAGCAGTGCTTAACAAACCTACTGCTATCACACTCAACACACTCTGCATAAAAGCATGATTTAATACGCTTTTTAATGGCGATTTCTTACGCTGCTTGCCTCATTGTATCAGTGAACATGTTGACAAGACCGCAGCTGTCTTTCGCAAATTAACAAGTTCACCCCTGTGTGAAAAACCAGCTCTTTTGAGGCATAGCACAGCCGTGGTGAATAGTGGTGAGCTGGGCTTCTGCAAACGAATTGACGTTGCGTCTTAGATCACTGCAGCCAGATTTTCTCACTTTGATGTGATAGCTCCGCATAATTCTCCTTTCCTACCTCTGAGTTACCTTTCTGACAGCCTCTGCATGAGGCACTAGATTTGCTTCCGACTGATTGAGGCCAAGTAGCTCGCAAATCACGCTGTCACATCTGGGAATTCATGAGTTCGCAGCTCTGTAAAATTACTTCACCTCTATGTACTGACAGGCCAAACCGTATGTTTGTTGGAAAGAAGACCAAGGTTTGACAAAATCAGATTTTCTATTTATTGGTTTTATCTGATTTAATAATTTTAAAGTAGAAAATATCTTCTCTGAGTATAATGAAAGCACGTAAATGAACCGGTTACATTTCCAGTAGAGTTTAATACTGTATGTTACATTTCACACATTCATGTAAGGCGTATCACCTTAATTAGAAAAATAAAGCACAAAGTATGAGAGTTCCCTTCTCCCACTATGGAACGTCAGTGCTTTAAAAAGCCCAGAAGTGGTCCTTTGCTTTAAAGAGATTGTTTTATGTAAGCAAAGGATTTAGCTGTATATTTGGGTCTGGGATCTCCTTGTTGCCGTTATTCTTCATGAAGCAGCCCGGCTCTCTTCCAGTCCTCAGCCTGTCATTTCTTTTGTACATCAACTTTTCCACTGCCAGAATGTGTCATACCTCATCCAGTCAGTTGTCCTGGGTTGTTCTGGGTTGGTTTTTTGTGGCTGCAATTGTACAGTTTGCTGCCCGTGAGATGATTAATACAGTCCTGGAAGTCATACATCCCTTTTACTAGCCTGTAGAGCTAGTACCTTCCCTCCTTCTAGGGAAAGTTATCACACCTGTATTTTTTAGTCAGAGGCTGGACTGAAAAATTCTGTTGGGGCAAATGTAGTAGTAAGAGAGATCCTGGGCAGGAGATAGATTAGGCATGGTAGTAATATGGAAGCAAGGGCTCTGTGAGTGAAAGCTGTTTTCTGTGCAGAGTTTTGGAGGCAACCGTCTGATGTACATGTATTGAACAGACCATCTCCCATCTTTCAGGGGAGATAGAACATGCTGCTTAGCTAGTTTTCACTTCCTTATCCAGGATATTTTCATACAAGGGAATTACCGAACTCCAGGAATCGGAGGGTTGTTTGGGGCTTTTTAAGGTATTCTTGTAACATTCCTGTGGCATGACATGGTAACAGCCATTTTTCCTATGACGTCCTGCAGGCAGTGTCTGTGTGACAAGAAAACCACTTAACAATGAAAAAATTCACACTGTTTGATTTTGTAAATGATAATTCACTGCAAATTGGAGAGACTTCATGGATACAGGACCTTCCCAGTGATGACAATGAACTCGAAAGACTTCTGAAACCAAATGAGCATGTGCTAGTAAACTGGCCTGTGGGAGAAAGAAAGACAGAAAAGCACCTGGTGAAAGTTGTGTACATGAGTGGTGAGTGCAGTCCCAGATCATTTGTCTGATATGAAATTTAATCTAGTTGTAAGGTATTGCTACCTGATTTTCTGTGCTTTGGCCTTTTTTTTCCATCACTTCAGATGACCCCCAAGAGCTGGTGGAAATGATGCAAAAGATATTACGAGCGGATGAAATTACAAAAATACAAGTCCTTGGAAAAGGCAAGAGGAAGAGGATAGAAATGATATTCTCGGAGAGTGAAGACAGTGACCTGGATAAAGAACAGGTAAGTTTCTGTCTTTATGTGCCCGGTATTGGTAGGCCCATAATGGAACGAAATAGACTGTAACTATTGATTCTTCACAATATAATACGCAAAATATGTATAGTAAAGGTAGGAATACAGACAATCTTAACATGGTGCCTCAGCACAATCACCTGTCAGAGTAATTAGTTAGGCCAATACATTTTGTCCTTTGCTATTTAAAGAGAGAAGTGTTATTCAAGACTTGGATGCTCTGTAGCTCCATTATTACATTTCTCCTATAAGACAGAAATCTGACCACTGCATAAGGAAGGGAAGGGACCAGGTTTTCTGAGCTTTGCATTCTGCTGAGATATGCAGTGACAAAATGCGGGGAAAGAAAACATAAATCTTAACAAAAAGTTATAAACTTATTTTTCAAAAATACTAACCAAGAATGTCAAGTGCACAGTGAATAAAAGTTTATGGTATACCATGAGATACTGTAATGAAAGGCTCTATAGGAATGCAAAGGCACTGTTATGCTTCTGTTTACAGGGGAAGATGATGAAGGATATAAAAAGAAAGAAATCATTACAGGCATCTGCTCCTGCCAACATCCTGAGTCAACTTGAAACATCTTTAATTAACAAACAGGTAAACATCTCATCTTCAGCAATTTTAATGTATTAAGCAAAAGCAAACTGAAATGTATTTGTTTAAGGGGGCATAAGACTTTTGCTTCAGTGAAGTTAACGGTTCTAAAAGACACTACCTTAGAAAACTGGTGAATAGAGAACAGAGAGAGAAGTACCTAATGGTTATGTATTACACTGACATTTCATTTTGAATTTTAGTAAGAATGGTAATATCTATGTTCAGTAACAGCTATTATTAAAATGCACCAAGTCTGTTTATACATTCTGTCTACAAAGAGAATATTCTGATTTAGCCAGATATTTTAATGCTAGTTTTAATGCTTTAGTTTTATGTTGTTGTTGCCCTAGATAGCACGTTTTGTTTTTTTTTTTCTTCCAGAGAGAAACATATTCAGAAAGCAACTTTCTGTACAGTGAAAGCAGCAGTGATGATGAAGAGCCTTTATTTCAACTATCCAAGGTAGAACTGTGTGCCAAAATAAAAGGTCTCAAGAGGAAGCTGACAGATACCATGAGAGAAAACTGCCGCCTAAGGCAGTCCCTGGTGATGCTTCAAGGTAAAGTCAGGGGAAGTTTTCTGATGAAGAGGAAAGCCTGAAGGTCATGAAAAGCTTGATTTATAAGAGGCCATTTGGATGGGAATTATGGATGCTCAAGCACCTGACACGATCAAGGCCTACCATTAGCATCCAAGTCTTTGATACATGGCAACATTTAATTCCAGCAGCACTTAGAAAAAACGGTCTTACATGGAGGCCATGCAATCACAGAGTTAGAAATGGAAAAATCTGTCTAAATCCTGTCAGTCATTCCCAAGAGAACCTTTCTGTGTGCTGTGTATAACCATCAGCTAAGCTCAAACACTCCACTGACCAGTCCAACTAATCTTATTTATTAACAGTTATTCTTGATCTACTGAAATTTTCTTTATTCTGGAATGATTTCATTTCTAATTACTTTAGTAATTCCTCATTATTGATAATCTGAGTTAGTTTCAGGTACAACAAATTTAGTCCTTTCCCAGAGGTGGACCATTTTGTTCTTTTATAAATGAATCCTTCATCACTTAGTGATCACCTCTGAAGCCACTCTAACTTGTCCCTGTCCCTTACTCTGGGGCAGCCAAGACTGAATCCAAAATTTCAAAACATTAGTGAATGAATAAGGTTTAAAGAGGATTTGCTACTTCTTGCCAGCTACGCCATACCATCCCTAGACAGCCTAGTATCTCTCTTTTTATTGTCATATGATTTTGCAAGTGCTTATCAGTTTCATTGCCCACCTGATTCTGTTCTGTATGTTATTCATCTTGGTTTGAATCATTCATCTCCACTTTTCTGAATATTATTTTTAAACATTTGGTTAGTGTCCGACAACTTTTCTTACACATTTAGGCCCATTTGCCTTACATGTTAAGCACTTGTATTAGTCTTCAACAGTATTTTCTAATAAGTCAGTGATTCTGTATCTTGCTGATTCTTCAGCCTTTGCATCCTTTTCGCTCTGCTGAATTGGTTCTTCTTAATGGACTCAATAAAAGTTTATATTTGAAAATAAATATTACTTGGATGAAGAGCCATTTGAAACATTCTCTATAGATTAAAGAAGAGGAAAAAAGTCTGTGCGGTCTATGTAGCTTCTTTGAAGCAAAAAAAAAAAATCAGACATAACATTACTTAGCCCATATTCAAGAGCTTTACAGACCCGTAGAGATTTTGAGATAGCAAAAAGAAAAAAAAGAAATAGGCAGCTTAGTGCCATGATGGGCATAAACTAATGGTTCCGTTTAGCCTTGCAGAGAACTGATCTATCCTATTGTAAAAACAGAGGCCAGATCTTCATGGGTGGGGACAGCGGAATGGCAGGAAAAGCTTTGAGAGAATAGGAAAAAAAGTATGCTAAAGCGTTTTTGCTAACGACTTTGACTCTTTTGCAGTGCAATGGGAATCTAATTGCAAAAATATACATCCTTATGTAATTAGAGTCTGAAAGCTTCAATTACTTTTACCCATCACCTTCCGTTTGATTTCAGTGTTGCCACAGGCAGTCACCCATTTTGAGGAACTGGTAGGGATGGCTGAAGCACTGCTCAAAGGGGGAGTGGCATCATCTACATCCAGTCTGCATTCACATGCTCTTTGGAAAGCATCTAACAATCCGTTAGCAGATTCATATGCAGCTATGCATAGTAACTCCAGCTCACCAGTAACTCTGAATGTGGAAGATGAGGAGCAACAGACTGAAAAACAGGTCAGTTAAAAGGCAATTTCAGGCATAAAACTTTACACAGTACAAACTGTGCTGATATAGTATAACAAATATAAAAAATAAGCATCAGTAAAAATCATTTTATCATCATTCAGTTGATGACATGACTAATGAGCATCTTTTGTGCAGGAGGATCTTTCCATGAGAAACACTAGACTTGATTCGGTGCGCTGGTACACTCTCAAATTCGCTTTGATTTTGGTGGCTTTGCACATCTGTAACTAAGGGCAGAATGCAGGTGCATGAAGAAAATACTGAGATCCAGGGATAACTTCCAGCCTAATGCTTTGGATGCCAAATGGGAATGGTAGTGTTTCAGAGACAATCTAAGAAAAATACCAGCAGTCTGTTTAAACTGTTAATAAGTAAATTGAGAATGGTATGTTTCTGCTCTTGTTCCAGATGCTGGCTAGCAGTTAAGTAGAAATACCTATATAGAGGGATACTGAGTAAAGATGTTCCTGTATTCTCTGTAGTTATAACAGAGCATAATGGATAAATCTCAGGCACAGAGGCTGTACATGAAAAATATGAAGACCCAACCAAAAGAATAATTCTAGCTTCTGCATTCACAATTTACATAAACATTCTTATGCACTGAGTCGTGCCAGTCCATGGAAATCATTCTCATGTGGTCCTAAAACACAGAGAGATCTATTAAGAATTATCAAGATATGATGTTTTGACTGAATATTGCAATACACAAAATTCAACCTAACATCTTCAAAGAAATAAAAAGACCTAATTTTCTAAGCAACCTAGCCTTACTTAATGGAGGTAGCTCAAAATTGCCCATTAGGAGAGTTCACATACGTAGGCCGTACAACTGCTGTGTGTAGAAGTCACTCTCAAAGCCCAGTACCAGATGTCACAGTTCTTAGGGCATGTCTGCTCGAAGGCAGGAATATTAGCTTGGGCATAGTGCCACGCTCCTGACGCTGTACAGAATCCACGCCAGAACTGGACCACAGCCAGCCTGCATGGAGTGCAAGCAGAAGAATTTAGATATGTCTGAACATGTCCTGTCTCCACTAGTGAGTAATAAGGATTGCTTGGTGAGGTGTTTGCTAGGATGAATGGCATCCTTATTCTGTCCCACGCTTGCCTCTGAAAAAAAAAAAATCAACCTGCGTGTACAGTTGCAAACGTTGAGTGGTATACAAGCTTAGCATTGATCTCAAGCGCACAGTTTGCAGAGATTGCTTTTGAAATTGTGGTTTAAAAAAAGAAAATTTAAAAAAATATTTCAGGGGTAATACTAGATAATATTTCTAGAGAACTGCAAGTTATGCCTATGACCAATTTTGTTTTCCAGTTCAAGATCGAAAAGTGGCAGATTGCACTTTGTAACAAGAGCAAACCTCAAAAGTTTATAAATGACTTGATGCAAGCACTTTATACACACGAATACATGGCTACGCACAGCCTGACAGGTGCGAAGTCCTCCTCTTCAAAGGACAAAGCAGCGAAACCAGCTATGAATCAGAATGAAGTTCAGGAAATCATAGGTGATGACGTGTTAACATTACTCGATGTGGCACTGACTTGACAGAGGGCTTTCTCTGAGGGAGGGGCTGTAATGCGTAACAGCTGGTCTGCTCAGGTGATGTGCTGTTTCCTATTTCCTTCTTCAGCTACATACTTTTCTAACCCATCTGTTACAAATCCTGTCAGGGAAATGCTTAGTAGTATTTCTATTGGGTGAATTTTGTGGTTTTTACTTCAGTGGCTACTCAGCACAGTGATATAGATTTTTTTAGCCTTTGAAAGGTTAATTTACAACAGTCAAACTTGGAGCATGACAGTTAACGGATAAAGGAAGGCAAAGAGAGGACACACTTGGATCAAACTTAAAATAATGTCTGCTATATTCTAAAGTTAGTGAATGTTATGAATTCTGACACTTTGGCACTGGAGGCAAAATGAGACAGTAAGTATAGAAGACAGGAACAGTGATCAAAGGAAGCAAACCAAATTTGTTTTATGCTGAGGTTTAAGGCAAAAAATGTTTGGTGCATAGGAAAGAGAATCATTTCGGATGGAAGTAGCAGCTTTAAAGAAAACAGTATTTTGTGAGGACGTGAAGCCTAAATTTTATTGGATTCACACCTATAGCTTAATACTTGAACAACATAGCCTAAATTCCTGTACTAGAATCCCTCGCCCATTGCCATTCCCTTGGACTTCCCCAGTTCTCTCGGTTCCCTTCCCAGGTTAGTTCCAGTTCCTGTACCTCGGTCCAGTTTCGTTGAAGCTGGCCAGCGGTTTCAAAAGTTATCAGTTGCAGAAACCTTTTCCTTAAGAACCTAGCTAGAGAAAAGGGCCCAAAACCAAGAGAGAGAAAAGGAAAG